AGTCGGGCTCTGCAAGCAACGTCAATGGAATCACAGTTCGGCGTCAATTTGGCGGCGTTTCCGTCTTTTTCTTTCTTCTCTCATNTTCGCTTTGCTGATCCCCTCCCTGTGTCCTTCCCCTTACTCCTTTTTCCCCTTCTACCTTCCTCTTTCCCCTCCCTTCTATCTTCCCTTCTCTCTCTTTCTTTCCCCGTTCCTTGCTTTACCCCATAGTCCTTCTATCTCTGTGCGCTTGATTGAGGGTGCACGTTGAAGGAACCCCAATCAAGACGAGATTATATGAACCATTACAAACGATATGAAAAATGATAATGATATATTTCGTCATCTAGACTCTGCTCGAGCTTTTGAACACAAAACCTCAACTGAATCAATCTCTCAAGAAAGTCAACGTCAATTCTACCATCAAGTTACAACAGAAGATTACAAGACGGTCAACTGTGTGCCTCAAGACGACGAACACGACCGTGAATCTCATGTGAGTGGAAGCTCAGCAGTGCCATCTCTTGTCCCAGACAAAGGCAACAGATTCAGTTCAAGCCTCAAATGTGTGATCAAAGTAACGCAACCTCAACGTCAAGACTTCTCGCCATTATTTGAGTGAGTATGCCGAGATTTGGAAGTATGGCCTCAAAAAGAAACGATTTCATGATCCCAGAATGTGCCAAATTGTGTGTCTGTCGTCGCGACAAATCTGCCACACTCCGAGCTCGCCGAGAAGAATTAATTATGGAGATCAAGCACAAATCACCCAAAATTCCACATGACGTGCAGCAATTATGGCAAGGACTGAAAGTACGACAACTATATTTTTCTGGGCTTGAGTATCAACCATTCAACAGATCTGCGTGAATTATATATGGTACAAATGCAGGAGAAGTGATGTTTGTGCAACGGAACAGGGCAATACTACACAGGACGCGACAAAGCATTGACTATGCGATGAGATAGGGGACAAGAAGGAGCGAGAACAAGATCTGAGCAAGCAATTATCGGAGAAAAGTAGGGTCCATCCAACGGCGAAAGCCAGCGAAGAACCTCCCTCCGAAGCCCTTAACCTTCAACAACAAGCGTCGCTGCAGTATGATGAGCGCAATACACATCACAACTTCCAAAAAAACGAACCCAGAAGTGCCCATCTGAAGCAAGTTCCTCGCCGTTCTCGTCGCCAAACAGGGACGCAGCGTCTTGATCCTGAACAGATATGAAATGAGCAAGAAGGCCTGACAGATTCACTAGAAGAGCTGCCTACGGGATAGTAGGTGCACTTATACGTGATGAAGGCTGAGGCTGGGGTCGTGTCACGGAGGTCAATCGTATGCTGTGGGCGGGACATAATAGCCTCAGTCACAGGGAAGTTTACGTCGTGAACGCGTCGTACCATGAATTCCTCGTCGCTCAATGGAGCATGAACCGGAATGTGGATTTCGCGAGTCTGAGCGCGCTGGAAGTCGCGCAGGGTAACCGAATCGCTGAGGACTAGGGTAAAAGACGGAAGGACGAGTTGTGAAAGAGGCATAGTGGATGTAGACTAAAATGATGTATGTTTTAGTTTGTGGAAGGACAGAAAAGGAGCGTTGGGGCGGTGGTGGTGGTGGTGGTGGTGGGCGTGATAAGGAAGAGAGACCCAGCGAAACTGGGTCATTTATATTGGAAAATGGGGTCCAAATAACCGTCAAAACAGCGGCGACCTTAGAATTCCTTGACTCAAAGTTTAAATTTTCGGTTCCTGGATTTCTAGGCTGGGAATGGTTGGATCTCGTGTAGAATTGGTGTCATTTGTCGTTGATGGGAGGCAGGAGGGCTGGCTTCCCGGAAAAGACCAGTGGGGAGGAGTGAATAGATGGCGACGGTATCCTCTGCCCAAGCGCCCAGGAGGAGATACGGGGAAGGCACTGCCGAAAGTTGTGACAAACACAATGTCCAACAGTTGCCGCATTAGCCCAAAGCTTCTTACGTCGGGTGAAGTGGTCGTACCTTCCCCCAGCAGTCAAATCGCGGCTTGCATAGTGCTCAGCGACCGCAGGCCTTGCCGATCTTCAAGATTCCTTCGAATAGGATCGTATGCGACAGACTTTCACCAGGGTCGACTCAATCCACGGCAAACTGGAAGCACACAAGGACACTAGAAATTCAGAGGGGCGTGAATCACCATAGATATGATACTCCCTCATATTCTTGATGACCATTGAAGACAAATGTAGCAGAGCGCTCCATGAAGGCATGTCAACGTTTCGAGGTCTGCTGGTGAAGGAGGTGTCTGTGCTGACTTCCTACGTAGATTCCAAGGTTCGACATCATGTTGAAGAACAGATCATGCTTGAGACGGTGGTCGGATCCATGGGGGCTTGGTGGTGCTTCGGATAAAAAGCAGCCCCACCGAAGGACACGAAGTCTCGAAGGACAGTCAG